CAGAGAGCTCAGAACAGCAAGGACAATGTCTGTATGAAGTGTGAGGGAAAACAGGAGAGGGAGATGGACATCAGAGTACACACACTCAGAACTCCCCTTGATTGGCACTGAAAGCATGCAAGTTGGTATAAGTTCTTTATAAAAGGTCTGTTTGTTCTAAATGTATCTGTGGTAGTTAATGTGCTTTTACAGGGGGTGGGAGAGTCATTTTGTTTTTGTTGTCCTTGTGTGTTTTTAAAGCAAGAATAAATGTTTCCTGATTGAAGCAATGTGCAGAAAACTGAAAGGAAAACAAAAGAGTGGAAGTTGGGGGATTTCATGATGAGTAGCCACACGTTATATCCCAACTTCCCTGAACATTTTCTTTGACACCACAGAGCTTTGGAATGTTGTCTGTGTCCTCGGGGATCTGGACAGACTCTACAGGTGGATAAAGCAAAGGTCAGCCTCTGGGATAAGACACAGGGTAAGGAAGGGGGTTGTGGGCACTGGTGAATTCAAGGCTGGAGATGCTGACAGGATGGGAGCCATGAGGGGAGGAATCAGAACATGGGCCTGTTTGTACACACCAGGGAGACTGGACTGGCTCCTGTCAAAGAAAACAAAACACCAATATTTTGTATCATCTCCCAGAGCAAAGAAAGGGAACAAGCAGGGCTGTTTCAGGCCAGCCATGCTAACTGGCAAGATCCTGTCTCAAAGCAAAAACAAACAACACCTTTCTAAGATGAAAGCCCTATGGAGTTTTAGTTCCATAAACAGAAGCAGGAGAACAGAATGATTTAAAGATAGTTGCCTAGTTTATTTTTGTAGGGCTGGGGATGGAACCTAGCCCACTGAGTCAAAAGAGAGTTCAATCAAAAGCCAGGAGAAGGAACCTCACTCAACACAGAACCAACCTTCAGGATGAGTGTCTCTGAGGACACAGGGGCTAATGCTCTCTCCTACCTCCACTGATCCATACCTCTCACAGTGACTAGCAGAGGTATAGACTACATGCAATGTGTGTACAGGCTCAAGGAAAGAGGTGCAATCTGTGTAGTATTCTATAAAACAGTAAATGGAAATACCAAATATGATTAAAGCTCAATTATGAGACTTTTGCATGCAGAAAAAATATAGAGATCTACAGATACTGTTGAACTTGGTACTAAAATTTACCAAAACTAATTTTTTTCTTTTTTGATGGATTTTTAAAAATATAGGCAATTCTACCACATGTCTACTACACACCACTTCAGTTTTCTTATGTTGTGTGACTCCTGGGGGGAAGGCAAAAGGACGAGCCAGAGCTCAGGATCCTGTACATGGGTGTGGATCTGCCTTTATGTCTTGAGCTGAGCCTGGGACAGAGCTGGGCCAAGTCTCAGTCCTGAGCCTGGGCTCAGGTCAAGACCTCTTGGCCTCTAGGTCAAAACCACCCCAGAGAAAAGGACTGGGCTGGGCCTTGAGCAGGCCTGGAGCCTGCATTTGTAAGTCTTTCAACATCTAAGAGGATAACATCCCAAGTCCCTAAAGAGGTCAGTAGTATTGGGAGACTGTTCTAGAATGCTGGTGAGGACTCTACTCTGGGGACTATTCTAGATGCAGACCAACACTCTGAAATATCAGGGAACTAGTTACTAGGAAACCATTTAGACATGTTGTCACATTTTGTATTTGAATTAAGGTTTTAGTGGAAAACACAAGTGATAATATGGCTTTGTTTTTGGCAGAGCATTAGTAGTTTGCATGTAATTAGTTATTATAAATCTTAAAAAATTTTCAATTCTATTTTATGTTTTAAATAGTAACTCATATTTTAAACCAAATGTTGCTTTTAGTTGTTATTGATGTTGGTTTTTAAATGGAGTTTGGTAAATCTATAGTTTTATATAAATCTGCTACATTGGTACCTGTCTTACAGGTCTCATAACAGACCAGGAGGACAGCTTTGTTCTGTCTCTTAACTTGATTAGGAACCACTCAGTACCTCCCCAGCCACTGAGTAACCTGGGGCAGGCCACTAGTGTGTAAGCTCCGAACCCCTCTGGCACAAATTTTGCTTATGAAGTTTTTCCAAGTTATTTGCAGTTGAGACTCAATTTCTCACATAACTTTTATAAAGGCACATTACTTCTCTGTCATTAGTATCTGAGGAGTATGAATATGAGGTGTGTCCAGTAACTTTCCCATGGCTATGCAGACATGGCTCCCAGAGCCAGGATCTGAAGTCACCAAAAAGAACCGTTGGGCCTCCCTGTGTCATCCATCTGTAGGATGCAGCCTATTGAAGCGTCACCCAGTGCCACATTTTGATTTATGACACTTTCAGGGTTTCCCAACCCTCCTCCTTCTTCTGTATTGGGCATGTTGAACCAGAGTCTCAGGCCTGTGACTCACTGCTAAACATTCTCTTGCTATGATAACTGCTGTTGATGTGTATAAAAATAGTTTGGACTTCATAATTATCTAGAAATTAAGATTATGGTACATAATTTTAAAAACTCAATATAGAAATCCTTTGTTTTGTATGTGTGTATGTATGTGTTCAAAAATGGCAAGTTTCAAGGTAATTTCTCAACCTTATCTGCTGTCTTCACTGATCTGTTTTGAGAAATGCAAATTAATTTTAATACTGGAGTTAGGCATTTGCAAGAAAGGAAAATCTATTATTAGAATATTATGTGGCTCATGTTTCATTTGTATTTCATTTTGAATAACTGATTGTTGCCTAGCTTCATCTACTATCACAGATGGTAAACAGGGGTTTTTGTATTCATATTTTTCATATTCCTTTTCAGTTTCATTCCTAATATTGGATCCTGTCAGTTGATATGATTTTAATTATTGAGATACAATGTATGTATAGAAATGACCTTTCAGTTTCCTGAATAAACAAGCCCAGGAAGCTCAGGGTCATGAGAAAGTCATTAGTCATGACCCTGAAGAATTAATATAGCAAAGAAATCCAGGAAAAAAGATACTGTTGACAAAGAATGATCATTCACACTACTTTTTGTTAAAGGACAAATACTGAATGCGAAAGCAAAGCCAGGCACTAGAGGCTTATGTCTGTAATCCAACTACTTAGGAGGCTAAGATCTGAGCACAGAGGTTTGAAGTGAGACTGGACAGAAAAGTCTGCAAGATTCTTATCTCCAATTAACCACCCCGAAACAGGAAGAAGAGGTGTGAGTTCAGGTGGTAGAGTGCTAGCCTTGAGCAATAAAAGCTCAGGGACTGTGTCTAGGCACTGAATTCAAGCCTATGACCACACAGACACACAGACACAGACACAGACACAGACACACACACACACACACACACACGATAAAACAATAAAAGCCTTAGTCACATCCTTGCTCCTGAGGCACACTGACCTGTGTGGAACAGCCGTGAGTGGGTTGTCAGAGTCCCTGCTGTTACAGTGGCATGTTCTCCAAACCTGGACCTCCGCGATGAGCCATGGAAAGAACTGAGGATTCTTTTACTTCATAATGTTTCCTGAAATCAACTTGTAGACAACAACCATTGTACTATGCATGTTATTAAAAATGTTAAATATTAAATAAAATATTAAGATTAATGAGAAAAAATTAGCAAAGAAATGTAAGAAATATCACCGTGTCTTACAAAGGTAGCAGCAGGAAGGAATTTTTTATAGTCAGCTAATTTACACATAGTAAATTGTCTAAACTGATATAGGTTCTATGTTGCTGCAAAAATAAAATAAGAAATTAACCCCTGCTAAAATCTCACCCCATTTCTATTCTCTGAGTTCTGACCTCTACACTGGGCAGATAATGGTCCTTGGAAGGCAAGCCACAAAAAGGTGGCTGGAAGAAAGCTAATAGAGAATAGGGAGGAACAGCATGAGTCCTCTGTGTCAATCTGCCAGGGCCTCTTCAAAACAAAAGTGAGAATTCTTTCCTTATGAGGAGCTAATGAGTTTCTTTTGTACATCCAGCTTAACTTTAAAACATCAAAGAGAATTAAGAGATTTATTTAAATTACTCAGGGTTACATTGGTGCTAAATGGTTGAGTCATAATCAAACCCTTCCTTATTTGGCTCAAAAGCCAATACCTAGTTTCATTCAACAAAAGTTAGTGAATTTTGCATCTTAAAATCTGGTATGAATCTGAGAACAAGTGTAAACTGCACCAGAATGGAGTTTAGTTGGGCTCTGGAGCCTAATTTTTCATTAGAATTGAGATCAAAGAATTTTCTGGTGAGGATCTAAAACTTTTTGCAATGATTTAACCCAATGGCTTAATTCTATCATAGCCATGAAAACCATGCATACACTACGTACTCAATAAATGTTACTGGCAGTCTGTTTCTTAAATTTTTTATTGTTATTATAACGGTGATATACAGATGGGTTACAGTTAAATAAGTCAGGTAAAGAAGAGTACATTTCAGTTTTTCCTTCCTGTCATCTGTCTAGTTTCAACTGGTGCAAATGAACTTACAATAGAAGATCGATGATGATTTGAACAGAAATGAGAAAAGGTTGTTTGGGTTTTTTTTTGGGGGGGGTCTAAATTGACCTCAGGTGTATAAAGAACGGGAATGATTTCTGTGTACGATTTAGTTACTGTTGTAGAACAGCATGTCTTTAAAATATGAGCAATTATTAAATACACACTGCTTTGGATGTGTCTATTTTTATTCATTTTTCAGTGATCATGGCTTTGGGTTTATGCTCCTGAGCACAGGCGGGAGGAGGAGCCATCAAGGCCCTGGCGGAGGAGCTAGGCTGGGGCTGGGGCTGGTCCTGGGGCTGGTCCTGGGGCCGGGGGGCCGGGCCCGGGCCCGGGCGGAGGAGCCAGGAGCTGGGGCCGCGGGCCTGAGGAGGAGCCATCAAGGCGCTGGCAAAGGAGCCAGGCTGGGGCTAGGGCCTGGACTGGGGCCTGGGCCGGGGCGGAGGAGCCAGGGGCTGGGTCCGCGGGCCTCACACGGGCCTGGAGCCCAGGCTGGGTCCGCGCCTCCGGCTTAGGGGCATGGGCGAACTCGCGCACCAGGTCTACAGCTGCGGGCTCACGGATAAAGGGCTGCCCACATCCCAGGGCCCGTCAAGCTCTGGAGGACGTCAGCGATCTGAGGACTTGCCTTAGCTTACTCACGAGCATGTCCCGGAAGTGGTCTCCCACGAGGAAGTAGAAGACGGGGTTGACGACGCTGTTGAGGAAGGCCAGCGGCCGCGCTGCCATGTACAGGACCCGGATGATGACGCGTGCGCAGCGCGGCCCGCCGTCGCCGCCCCGGCGCAGGCGCGAGGCGATGCGCACGTTGCGCAGCACGTGGTATGGCGTGAAGAGCACGGAGAAGATGACCACGGCCAGGACGACCAGGCGCAGGGGCCGCCGCAGGGGCAGCGCGGCGGCCACCTGCCGGTTCCTCTGCCTCAGGAGCACGGCCATCTTGTAGTAGAAGAAGCACATCATGGCGAGGGGCGCGAGGAAGCCCAGCACGGTCAGACACAGGCTGTAGACGAGGCTGAACTCGGGGTCCCCCGAGCTGGCGTAGTCAAGGCAGCCGGCGTCCGGCTCGGTGGCCGCCGGGCCGATGACGCGCAGGATGGGCAGCAGCTCGAGCGTGACCCAGACCCAGACGGCGGCGGACAGGAGCGCGGCGGGCCCGCGCCTCTGCAGCGGGTGCTGGCGGAAGGGGTGCCGCAGCAGCAGGTAGCGGTCCGCGCTGACGAGCGCCAGGAAGAGGACGCTGGTGTAGAGGTTGGCGTGCAGCGCGTAGCGGTTGAGCACGCAGAGCGCCGCGCCGTGCGCCCAGCGGCCGCGGGCGTAGCCGCGCACGAGCGCGGGCAGCGTGCACAGCAGCGCGAAGTCGGAGAGCGAGAGGTTGAAGAGGTAGACGCTGCTGCTGCTCCAGCGCCGCAGGCAGAAGAGGTAGCCCAGCACCACCGTGGTGTTCCCCAGAACGCCCAGGGCGAACTCCGCCCCGTAGAAGGCCGGCAGGTAGTACCGCTCCAGAGCGGCCTCGGCTGCCAGCCAGGAGTCGCAGGAGACGTTCCAGGCCTGGGGGGAGGGGGGGGGGGAATGGAAACAGTGTTGAGTTCCAGGCCTGAGGGAGATGGGGATGGAGTTGAATCCCAGGCCTAAGGGAGATGGGAAATGGAAGGACCAAACAGTTGAATGTGATGCCGGACAATACTGTGTTTAAGCAAAGTAATTAAAAAGAGAAACCCCGCTGGGGGCTCATGCCTGTAATCCCAGATACCTGGTGGCAGTAAACTGACCAGGCAAAAAGCACAAGACCCTGAAGCAAAAAAGAGACAGGGGCATGGCTTAAGAGGCTTAAGGGCTTCCTAGACAAACTCAAGATTCTGACCCCAACACGTGTGAGTATGAACACGCGGCAGGTGAGCAATGGAGAGCAGGCTCAGCATAGAAAGCACGCAGGCCCTTACGTATACACACCCACGTGGAAGTAGGAATGGTGAGACAGATACTAAGCACCTCTGATCTGAGCACTGTGCACTCGGGGTAACAGCGGTAAACAATCCCGATCTCAAGCAGTGTGTATTCTCTTGGGGAAGAATCAGAAAATAAACAGTCCTACAGTGATGCTTTACAGTAACAAATGCAGCAAACACGAGGAAAGGTAAACTCTTTAATTTTGAGGTGCAGGAACATTTCAATACTAACTTCAGTAGAGGGAAAGAGGTATCTGACCATGTGGAGGAAGAATTTTCCGGATACAGGAACAGCACGTGGAAACACTGAGAGATGGGGAAGCAGCAGGGAGGCCAAGGGGAAGTGAGGCAAAGGGGAGCCATTATCCTGTCCAAGGACTGGCGTGGTCCCCAGATATGGTGGCTACCCAGTAAATTCTGAGCTGAACTGAATTGAACCATCACCTAAGAGGGGAAATAGGGACTGTTGGAATTCCAGTCTGGCTATTTAAACAGCTTTTACTTTTTTCCATATTTTAAAACTTCTTATTTCATCAAACTGAAACAGGAACCTGAGTCTGAGTAGACCAGCACTCTATACCAACAGCTGAATGGACTGGACACACTGCTGGTCATGAACCAAAGACGTAAAACACCGCTATTAGTGTTTGCATTCCACACATCTGCACACGGTTTTCCGATGCATGCATGATTAAATACATTTCTGTTCTAGTTTGTTCCCACTGCTACATGGTATATTTTATCCTGGGTAATTTATAAATATTAGAAAAGTGTTTCTCAGAGCTCTGAGAAGGATGGCAAAGACGCCCAATGCCAAGGTGTCCGCAGATCAGCAACTAGACAGGACCCCCTCCCGCATGCTCCAGAGCTGGGGAGGCTTGCTTTACCCTTGACCCTCTTCAATTAGGGCACTGTTCCATCTGTGAGCACTCTGTCCTCATGACTTCACTACTTCCTCAAGTTTCTGCTTTTTAATACTTATGGTTTCCAATTATGAACTCTGTGGGAACACCAGTATCCAGACCATAGTACATAAGGTCATATACCTAGCCAGAAAGCTTCCTAGTAATTAATGCCTTCTGAACACTCCTCTACACCACAAGTATCTTGCTAAGTTGTCATTTTCTCTCTTGCAATGAAGCTGTCTTGCTGTGGTTGGATAGGGTATTTCAAGAACTTGAATTACCAGAAAAAACACTGAGTTGCCATTATTGATATATTTATTTCCAGTAAGAAATCAAGGTCGAGACGAACTTTTTCTAAGTCTCTTCTCATAATTTAGGCTTCTGAGTATTAGTCACAATCAAACAATTTTTTGAATATTGTATTTTGTAGGTAGCTACAACAAGAGCACATGTACCAGCACTGCTTTTCCTGGGAGACATTTAGAAACCCAGGAGAATTTTCTTTTATGACCCATCTACACTATTCATGACTATTTTTTTTAGTCAAAAACATACTTTAAATAAATGTATCTCATCTCAAATTGCTGGTATTCTAACAGTATTTTACTTATCAAAAAGTAATATTTTGTTATTTTTAGTCATTACTTTAAACTAGCCTAACTTAGCTGAGCCATGCAAATCTCTGTGTGGCAATCTGCTATGAAGTCCAACTCTCAACAGAGTCGGCCAGAAGACTGAGCAGCTTGGTTTTTCTCTATTATTGGTGTCTCTGGTGCTAGAATCTATTGATTTCTCAATTTTGTGTTTTCCAAATCCCTTCAAACCTCTTCCACTTAACTCTGGCCTGTTCACCATTACAAATCACCAAGATGACTGCCTACCAGCTCACCAATGTAGAAACATTCATTGAGTTTAAGTTGGATCACATCTGTTCTCAAGATGCCACACTACCCTTTTCTGTCCTGTCTCTGTGGCTTTCTCTCCCACTGAAATTACACCCTTTCCATTAACACCTAAACACACCCCACAGTTTTAAAAATACATAGCAGACCTAAAACAACTCTTCTCTATCTTAACATGTTCTTTTCCTCAACATATCTTGATCTCTGAAAAGAGCTATTTCAATAGGCGTTTTGACATCCCGGCACCATTTTGCTTCCAGTCTGCTCTAGCATAGCTCTCATGTCTCCAAACTAGATTACCCTATATTTGATGATCTCATGGCCATGCCTTATTTGACTCCTCAGCTGCTTTTCATGCCAGGTCTGTGGAAAACATTCTTTCTTTGTCTTCTGTGACATGACACTGCCTTAATTTCTTTTAAATTCTTTTGTAGCTCATGTGGGAACTCTGAGTTCCTCAGATTCAGCTCTCCCTATTTAGGCTTCTTTGTCTAGATTCCTCCTGGATGACCTCATTATCCATCGACTACACAGATTTCCACCTTTAACCAGACTTCTTATATAAGCTCCAGTTGTCATTACAGTCGATTGCTTTCACAGACATCTCTGCCCTTAGAAATCCTAAACTCTCCAACTTCCTTATTAATTCTGAAGCAATACCAACTGTCTCAGCAAAATGGTTTCATCATCTTCAGTGCTCACCACAGAAATCCTGGCAACATCCTTGGAATGGCCTACAACTTCACTGCAATGATGAACAAACTACCAAACCTCATTGAGTACAACTTCTAGTCTAGGCTGCCATCACCTCCGTCTTAGATAATGCCATATCCTCCCAGTGCTGTTGTCTTCCTACAACTTCTCTGGTCCACATTCAATTCATCTGTGGCCAAAACTTAATTTACAGCTCCAAATCTAATCACATTGCTTTCCTAGACCCCAACACAAAACCACAATGGAGATGTGCTGGCCCCATTTTCCACTTCAACTTTTCACTCTTTGCTCATCTTTCCTTCTCCCTGCTTCTTGAATGCACTTCTTGAATGGTTCCAATATGTAATTCTCTCTCTCTCCCTGCCTCTTCCCCTCTCTCCCCTTCTCTTTTTCCCTTTCTCTCTTTCTCTGAATCCTTATTAAATGCCATGTTTTTTTTTCTCCCATGATATCTGTCCTTCATGCACATTTCCTTCTGGCCTCAGTTCAAGTAGCTTCTTCCCAAATTAGCCTTCTGACTCACCAGTCTAAGCTTGGTCCTCCCTGTTTATATTTTCATCATGCATTTAACATTTCCTTAGTATTTCTCGTAAAGGTGTTGTGCTTATTCAGTGATGAACAATGTTTATCTTCTACACCTGGTACAGTGGCAAGGCATTAGCCAGTGGTATGAAAACACAGGTTGTTGTGGGGAAACCGTCATAAATATTGTTTACAAAGTAGTTTTATAAACATTTTCTTGGAGTTCAGATAACAACAGTACATCTATTGCTCTATCTCACTATGAAATATATAATGTGGGAAGGATTCAGACTTGTCATTGCAGTAGTAATACCCTTTAGAAAAATGTTTGCATAAAATATTTCAGAAATTAAGGCACTTAATGAAGAATTTTTATAAGCTATTAATAACAAAAAACAAAAGGGTATTTCCAAAGTGCTGACCATTTCACCCACACATAAGAGCCCAGCTAGTTTTCATTGTGTCTTTTCCTTTTGGTCTAACTAGACTTCATGTCTATTTTTATTTGCTTGTTGTATGTAACAACAGTAGGAGTTTTAGAAGACCAGATATGTAGCAAAGGGAATAATGAACCTTATTATTTTTGGTTAATATCCTATTCTTCAAAGATCCCTATTATTCTGAACTGTCTGCAGCAACTTTCAATGCATACCTTCTGGAAACACTCTCTTCTTTGACCTCTGTGACAGGACAATCTCCTTGTTTCTCTTCTTTTTCAGACTCTTGTAGCTAATCCTTCTTGGCCCAAGCTTTAAATGTTGGAGTTCCTCAATACTCCATTCCTTTGTCATTTTGACAGTACTGAAAAAATTAGTGCATACACTTAAAGAATAGGATAATAGCAAGTTTCCTTGAGATATGAAACTCCTTTGTTTCATTTCTGGATTTCCTTTTCATCCCTGGTTATACTAGGCCATATCTCTGCCTAATAAGTGCTGACTTATGTCTATACTTTATTGAATTTCTGTGCAACAGAAAGGTTTCACTGTCATAAAGGAAAATATATCCAGAAATCCTTTGCAACTGCACACAAGGTTACTGATTGAGCCAGGTGCCAATGGCTTATGCCTGTAATCCTAGATACTCAGGAGACTGAAGTCTGAGGATGCCAGTTCAAAGCCAGCCCTGGTAGTTAAGTCCATGAGATACTTACCTCTAACAAACCACTCAAAAGAGCTGTAGCTCAAGTGGTAGGGTGCTAGCCTTGAGCAAAACAGAAAGCTCAGAAACAGCACTCAATCCAAGAGCTCAAGGCCTCCCCCTTTCTCCCCCGCCCCTGAGTTCCAGCCCCATGAGCAACACATGTGTGTGTGTGCGCACACACACTTGCACACATGCACACGACTAATCCCAACCAGAAAAGATGACTGCTACCACTCAGACAAGTAGCAGTTAGGGTCAGGTAGAGTTAAGTGGAGTCAGATAAGGTGATGAAGAACCTTCTAGTTTCCATACCTTTGCTTCATGCTTTAAAAAGCTTTGTAAGATGTCTGCACAAAAGACATATGAAGTGTCTAATATTCAGTAGATGCAAGTATCCCATTGTATAACATCTTTGCATAATTAATAGACATTATATCAAAGTGAATAATAGAAAGCTGGAACAGGTAGAAGTGGAAACTGGTGTTTAAGGGATGAGAGGAAAGGTGGGTAAATCATAATCAGTGGACATTTGTTCAAATGGAACCTGGAAATGTGAACAGACAGATGGGGTGGGGCCGAATGAGGTCAGGGTAATGGTAATCAAGAGGCATCATGCTCATAAATTGACATGTTCACTTGAAACCCCTTTGTACAGCTATTTAAAGGTAATTTAAAAGAAGCAAGTAGGCAAAAATAAATGTCATCCATTTCCAATGTTTGGGTGCCTTTCCCTTCTATACTTTAATATTTACTGGAATTTGGGTTTGTAAAAATGAGATGAAACTTTTAATAACCCAGGTCTTTCATTTTTAGAGCCTCTTTCTATATCCATAATAACAAATTTTATGATGATGATGATGCAGGCCCGGGGCTTGAACTCAGAGCCTGGATGTTGTCTCTAAGCTTTTTGTTCAGGGGTCTCCACTTCTGGTTATTTGGTAGTTAATTCAAAATAAAAGTCTTATTGACATTTCTTCCCAGGCTGGCTTTGGACCATGGCCCTCAAATCTCAGTACCTGATTAGGTAGGTAGTACAGGTATGAACCACCCATGCCCCGCAATAACTTAATGCTTTATAAAGATAAACTGTCCAGGGCTGGGAAGGTGGCTCAGTGGTAGAGTGCCTGCCTTGCATGCATGATTTGATTCCTCAGAAAAAGCTGGAAGTGGCGCTGTGGCTCAAGTGGTAGCCTTGAGCTGAGTTGAAGAGCTGAGGGACAGTGTCCAGGTCCCACGACTGGCAAAAAAAAAAAAAAAAAAGCTATCCCATATTTGCTGGTCAATTTGCTTTTTGAAATGACAGAATTTAGAGGGAATTGTTTCTGAATATCATTTGTAGTTGAGTGTTTATAGTGTGGCATCACAATTGTACAAATTAAGGAAGTGTGTTATTCCTATAAGCAATGTTCCCAACTGAAGAGGAATTTCCTCATGAATACTGACTAATCCTTTTTCTACTTTCTAGTAGCTGTAATCTTAATTTGAGAAAATGAAAATAATTGCAAATATGTTATAACAGATAATGCTGAATTAGTAGATTTGAAAAATATACTAGCAATTAAAGTGAAATAATTAGTTCCTAGTCCAAAAATATTCCTATGTATGTTAGAATTAATGTGCCAGAAGAAATATTTAATTTACTAACGTAATCAGATTGGGAGTATACATTTTTAATTTGGAATAATGTTTCTTCTATTTAGATATATTCATCTTTTTGAGTACTGTTACTTACAAAAGAAAAAATATTATTTACAAATATATTTGACCATTTCTAAAGCTTTAAATTGTTTCTTTACAACCATTGTACTTAATTCTGAACTTCTATAGAAAGAAAAATTTATAACCTAACAGGATAATTTTTATTATTGAATTGCTGTTTTCATTGCTAAGCAATTTGAATGAAAACTATATATTCACACTAAGAGACATAACAATATAGTATCAGTGACTTCATTTTTATATATTCTATAAATTATTCCAGAAATGAAATTATTGTGTAACATCAAATTGTAACTTACTGAGTTTTTTTAAAGCTAACAAGATAGTGAAGAACTCTGGAGGGGCTAACGGCAATGATCTGTTCAATATATCATTTTTTATTTAGAAAATTGTTTCTTTGAGGTCATCTCATTTTGTCACAAGCAAATTCTAAACTCAATATTTCCAATGCCTTTAAGTTCCATTTTGTGTAATATTTGCTAAATGTGGAAATATTTTATGTGATAGATGGTTTCATATGATTTAAGATCTTTTTTTTCCTGAAGACAGTTATATTCAAGTAAATGCAGTTACTATTTTTGTTGAGAGATTAGCAACTATGGTAAACATTTCTACATGAAATACACATGACATTTGGAAATTAAAGCAGTACATTTAATTTTGCAGAATAACAATTGTGAAAGTAAAGATTACGACTTTCTTTTCCTTTCTCCTGTCTTGCCTAAGCATCTCTTCCCCTTCCTGGCTCACAGACCACTATGTGAGCCTCAGCGGAAGGCCTGGCATGATTGTGCATCTGGATACAAGAGTCAGCATCACTTACCATTCTGCACCAGGGTCTGCTCTTCCCTCCGGCAGATGTTCTGCCAGCAGTGCTCGCAGCTTCTGACCTAGTGCTGTGCTGCTGACAGGACCGGTGCAATCCGATTTGCATATCATGTGGACGAGCTTAGTAATTCAAGAGCCCAAGGGTAATTTATTCAAGTCATAGAGGCTTATGCAGGGTGCCTCATTCTGTGGTAAACTTCGTATGCAGATTTTCAGAACTCTGCAGCCAAAATTAGTTTATTCTCATAATTAATGCTCTCAGACAATACATAGTGGTAAACACATTGTATTGAGTATGCAGTTGGAGTGTTTCTTCATTTTCAAGTTTTTGATGAGCTCTGTGTCAGGCACAATTACTAAACTGGTATTTGTTCTAAATTGCCTTTAGAGACCTACAAAACTGGAGCCTGGAGGAGACCTGGATGCAGACCTTTTAGGGAGAATAAAGCTTGAGGGTGGTTTCCATTTTAGTCTCTTTAACTAAATTCAGGAGACACATCAACACTTATCAGGTGGCAGGGATTGGGGAGAGTGGTGTGTAAACGAAGGCACCTCGGGAGGGCAGTTTACACACTCCAGTGGTGCTGAGCAGCCCCGGAAAAGCCTCTCTACCAGTTCAGACAGGATGCAGGCTGGCCTTCTCCTGGGCTGTGTTAGTTTTGTGTCCACACAAACATTCTGTGTGTTGGTCTGAAGCATGGGGTGATGCTGTGTAGTTCCCTGGCTTCAGTGGCATTAGAAATTCAGCCTGGAGCCTGGAGCTGTGGCTCACCCCTGTAACACCAGCTACTCAGGAGATATAGATAGGAGGGATGCAGTCAGGATAGCCCTAGGCAAAAAACAAGAACCTGTCTGAAAAATAACCTAAAGCCAAGGGGACTGGAAGTCTGGTTCAAGTGATACAGGACCTGCCTAGCAAGTTTAAGGCTCAAGTTCTAAACCTCCAGTATCACATCCCACAGATATACACTGACCATTGTATTGCAGCAAGCAGTACAACTCCACAGTATATCCAGCACAACATTGTATGCTCTCTGCTTCCTAGTATCTAACTCCAAAATGCATTATAAAATATGTGATATATTATTAAAATATACGTAATACCAAATGTGTTACAAAATGTTTGTGTATGAGTATATATATCTGTCTCTATCCTGTACTCAAATGTATGTACATATGTGAAATACACATATATATACATATTTATGCATGCATACAATCTAAGTTCACCTCTATCCTTTAGTATCTTTTTGATCTGTTGGGTTTCTGTGATACTTCTGTATTACAGCAGAGAAGTTATGGATGCCTTTGTGTATAGAGTTCTTACAGTTACAGTTACCAGCTTTGTTTATCTCCTGGAATATACACAGAGGCTCCAGGGTCTGTTCACTTCGCCAGGGCCACAGAGCCTGGTGGATCTGGGTGCAGCGCGTGGCTCCAAGGCAGGGTTACTGAGGCCATTTCAAGCTTAAGACCTCCCCTGAGGTTAGCTCCCCCAACCTCCCCTGAGATCAGCCCAGCCCTGGGCCCCTGGACCCCCCTCCCTGAGGTGGACTCCATTTACTCCTCCTCAGTGTTCCTGTCTGCATAGGAGAGAGGAGGGGCTGTGGTGTAGGGTGGAGTTTAACAGGCAAGGCCAACTTCTGCAGGGCATGGCCCACATTGCCTCCAGAGGACTGGACTCTGAGCACCAACTGACCCAGTGTCCCAGGTCAGAATGTGACCCAGCCAGGAGCACTCATAGTGTCTGATACAAGTGTGAATAAGCAGTGGTCTGGTCCCAGCCTCCCTCCACCAGGTCTTTGGAACAAGTCTCCATGATGTCCTCTAGAAGAGAGGCCTGGGCTCCCCTCCATAGACCTCCTCATCGGGGGCGTGTCCACTGATGTCCTCCGGAAGACAGGCCTGGGCTCTCCTCCATAGACCTCCTCATTGGGGCCTGTCCACTGATATACTCCAGAGACAGGCCCAGGCTCCCCTCCGTGAACCTCCTCATTGGGGCGTGTCCACTGATGTCCTACAGAGGACAGGCCTGGGCTCCCCTCCATAGACCTCCTCATTGGGGCCTGTCCACTGATATACTCCAGAGACAGGCCCGGGCTCTGCTCCATAGACCTCCTTATTTGGAGCTTGTCCACTGATATCCTCCAGAAGACAGGCCTGGGCTCCCCTCAGTAAACCTCCTCATCAGAGCCTCTTCACTGATGTCCTCCTGAAGACAGGGCTGGGCTCCCCTCCATAGACCTCCTCATCGGGGCCTATCCACTGGTATCCTCTGGAAGAGAGGCCCAGGCTCCCTTCCATGAGCCTCCTCTTTGGGGGACTGTTCACTGATGTCCTCTGGAAGAGAGGCCCAGGCTCCCCTCCGTGAACCTCCTCATTGGGGCCTGTCCACTGATGTCCTACAGAGGACAGGCCTGGGCTCCCCTCCATAGACCTCCTCATGTGTACATCAGCAGCTTGAGGTAATCCATGGGAACACCAGGGCCAGCGGGGCAGCAGTAAGTCCTGCAAGGAGACCACTGGCCGGCAGATCCAAGAGAAGAAAGCCGGGAGAACGATAATCAAATGCTGACTGCATCCAGCATGTTCAAAGTTAGCACTCTACCACTTGAGCCACAGCTCCACTTCTGGCTTTTTGGTGGTTAGTTAGAGATAAGAGTCTCATGGACTTTCCTGCCCTGGCTGGCTTCAAACCGTGATCCTCAGATCTCAACCTGCTGAGTAGCTAAGATAATAAGCTTGAGTCACACTGGTCCCAGGCTTGAGTGCTAAATGTTTTCTGATGCTAAATGTTTTGTGTGTGCCACTCATAGGGATTAAACTCAGGGCCTAGGTGCTGTCCCTTAGCTTTTTCACTCAATGCTAGTATTCTGCTGCTTGAGCCACAGTTCTACTTCTAGATTTTTTTGGTGGTCAATTTGAGATTTGAGTTTCATAGACTTTCCTGCCAGGCTGGCTTCAAACTGTGATCCTCAGATCTCAGCCTCCTGAGTAACTAGGATTACAGGCGTGAGCCACTGGTGCCAGCTTTAACTTGAAATTTTTGGTCAGTAGAACCATGCTACATTGACCTTCCAGGGATGGGTTTTTCACTATTGGCAATTCTCTGGAGAGTCATCTGGACCATTGCATTTGTTCTTAGTCATTATGATAACTGAATAATACTCCCTGGTAAGTAGATCTTCAGTTCACTTAATCATTCGACATTGAAGGACATTTGCTTGGTTTATTGGGCTCATACACATGGAGGTTTTTATGTAAATATGACTTTCCATTTTTCTGGGATAAATGCCCATATGCATACTTTCTGAGTGTATGATAGTTACACATTTAGAATTTCAGGGAATGGCAAGGGATTTTCCAGCTGGGAAGTTCCATTTTATATGTTCACCTGCAGTGTGCAGAGGTCTGAGCTTCTCTGTTGTCAGTTTTGTTTTACTGACCTGAGAGGTATTTCATGATAGCTCAATGAATTTGTACTTCTCTGGTGGCTAATGCTGTCATATTTCATGCACTGAGTTCTCATCTTTTTCAGTAAGCTGACTTTTCATGTCTTTGTCCACTTCCTCTTTGGGTTTTTTGTTTTGTCCTGTTTTTAGACCATGTCTCTTTAAAAACCTGGCTAGCCTTTAATACAGGACAGGCCTATCTCAGCCCCCTTGTGCGTCAAAAGTATAGGCATGCACCACCACGCCTTGCTTCTACTTGGATTTTTTAAACTATCAAGTGCTGAGAATGTTTGCACTGGCTCCATACTGCACCAAGTATGCGTGTTTCCCCAGTCTAGAGCGCAGTGTCTGCTACCGCTCCTGCTAGGCCTGGGTTGGCAACATGGTAGGGCCCAGCACCGCTGTACAGGGGTCCTCTTGATTCTCCTACACAGACTGATACCACCCCAGCCTGGAGTAAAGGGAAGTCCTACCTCTCTCTTCTCTTTCCTCCTGAGTGGCTAGGATCACAGACATGAGCCACTGGCACCCAGCTACTATCTAACCTTTTCTTAAGCAAAATGAAGGCTAGTACTGTTACCACAAAGTAAATATAGAGAAAATAATACAATTTATACATCCTCCCACATTTTAAGGAAGTTGTGTAGACGGGGGCTGGGCATTGCACCTACCCTGCCAATTACTTTTTTAATTGATTTTTTCCCTGTCCAATCTGTGCTCTATTTTCATACTTTCTCAATCATTATGGTCTTTTTCTTAATATGTATGTCAGTCTTCATTTTTATTCTCTATAAAAATCTGCCGTGTATATTTTCATATTTATATTTTAAGTGTTTATTTTAAAATAATTTTTATATTTCAATGCGAGGTAAGCAAGAGTGTAAAATGTCTCTTTACTAGGGCTTCTGTTGACTTAAAAGTAACCCTATGATTGTTGAATATTTGTTTTCATGACATTGCTGGGCCGAGCTTCATTTGTTCTCATGGAAACACTTTAAATCAACACCATCCTAACCCTACTGCCACCTGTTAAACATTTATCAGCACATGACCCCATAATTCCCTGTATTTGCTACCATGACTAAACGATACTGACACACATATGGGAAAGATGAATGTGGCATATAGATGCAGCCAAAGACACACTTTCACACACACACACACACACACACACACACACACGTACATCGATGATTGTTTTTCTACCCAGTCTGCATCTTTCCCTGGGTCAGAGCTGTGCTGGGTGTGGGGAGAAGGCAAAGCTGCTCACAGGAGCCCCTGCCTTATCACATGGGGTTAGAAACCAGTGGCATCACATGGCTCCCTCATCTCTGCCTCATTTGCCCTTATGGGTCATGGAACAAATAGTTTTTGAAAATGCATGGCAATTGAGCAAATATTTGCAGAAATGATTCTGGGAAAAGTCCCCTTTGGTAAGCATGCTCAACTTTCTTCCTGGAGTGAATTGTAAGCAAGCAGACATGACTGAAAACACCGTGAGATAGGTCACAAGAGTGTCTAGAAGGTCCCTCTCACAAATATGCATTTACAAATGGGAAGAAAGTCTATCTTCTGTTTGAATGTTGATTGGCGAGTT